CTCAAACTTGTTCAGTTGTGTCATCCCGGTCCCTAAATATTATAAATACTGTAAACTTATAAATTCAATATATATTTATAGAACTATCAAAAAATTATAAATCTAATTTGGTTAGACTCTCGTAAACATGTACTTTAAACTAGAATAAAGGAGACCACCATGTACTTTCTATTTTTAACTCTGTAGTTAAATAACTAAATAGGCATGTATGTACGTGCCTATTTAGTTATTTAACTATAAAGTTAAAAATAGAAAGTACACGTTGATTTCTTTTATTCTAATTTAAAGTACATATTAGCAGGAGTCTAACAGAATTAGATTTATAATTTTTGGATAGTTCTATAAATATATATTGAGTTTGTAAGTTTATAATATTTAGTGACCGAGATGACATAACTGAACAAGTTTATGGACCTAAACGGAGGATTCACAAGTTTAGGGACCTAGATGATGCAGTCGAACAAGTTCGATGACCTAAGTGAGTGATTTGAGAGTTTAGGGACTGAGATGACATAGATTAACAAGTTTGAGGACTTAAACGATCGATTTATGAGAGAGACCGGAATGACACAGATGAACAGGTTTAAGGACTTAAACGATCGATTTATGAGTTTAGGGACTAAGATGACACAGCCGAATAGGTTCGAGGACCGTAAGTGGACTTTACTCGTATTTTTTATTAAAAATCTTTTAGTTTTCTTTAGCCGTTGGATGAGAAATCAACAGCCCAGTTTATTTTCCAATCATATCTCCAATTCCACCTTTCTTCCAGGGGGGGGGGGCACCATACCTTCATATCGCGTTCTTTTTCCTTCATGCTTGACTCTAGTGGTGTCAACATTACTAACCATATCGCTCCAATCACAATGCCCTTGATGCCATCCTCGCAAATCGCCAACAATCTCAACGGCTGCGACTGACGCTCCCACTGCTCAGTTACACCATCGGGCCAAGGACGTCCTTGCCCATCTCCTCTATAGCCAGAAACTACAAAAACCCAAACCTTCAGTCCCTGGCCTCCTCTAATCCTCCTCTGGGCAGGTCAATCAGCGCGCTTGCTGCTCCATTGCAACTCACACCCTCAGAGTCACAGGCAGAAACCGGAAAAATAACGGAGCATGCGGAGACGAGACCACCACCAAATCCAACTATCTTTTTTCTGATTCTCAGTCTTACAACTAGCCATGTTTGCATGTTTGCTAGCCACGGCATGTTAACCCCGGTTGACTGCAAGTTAAGCACAGCTGCACAGGTTTGACAGAGAAGCTGTGGCCGTGGTCTCTTGTAAGATCAAAGGAAACCCCATGGTGAGATGGCGGCGCTTCTGGGCCCGGCAGGGAGGCAGAGCCAACAGCGAGTCGGGAAGAAGATGACGTCGTCTCCTTGACGCCCGCGCGTTGTCGAATCGAGCCCGACGCCACCGCCCACGTTGCCTGTGCGCTGTGCCACGGCGCGCTGTTCTGTTCCGCCGGAGCTCCGCCGAGTTCAAAAGCCGAGGAAGCCAAACCAAAAAGCACATTTGTCGCCGGCGTTTGTAGCGTACTAGTCCAGTGTCAACTGACCATCTGGTTACCAAGCGAGACCGAAAGAACCTGAGCTCTGCTCTTCTTTAACGAACCGCGTCGTCTGCTTTGACGAGAAACTCTCTCGGCGACGAGGATGGAAGAAGAAGATGGACGCCAAAAGGGCGACGCCGTCACGCGGGGGTAGTCAAAAGAGCCAGCAACGGGGACGACCAGTCGGCGTCAGGCTTTCCGGAACCGAAACAACCACCGAACACATGCCAAAGCTGTGGATCTCTCGGAAGTCTGCTTTGTTGCAGCAGCCACTGCCCACAGCCAGCAGATACCTGCTTGCTGAAGCAACAGCAAACGACCCAGCAGCACGCTTTTTTGGGCAATTCGGTGTGCCGCGTCCCTGTCGTGCGGGCCTGCGGCTGCGGGACCATACTACGGAACCGTGAGACACCCATCCTTTATCCTCGTCTGTTGCGTTGAGCTGAGAGAACAGATGCAAGGGCGAAAGGAACGTAAGTAAATGGCCATCATGCTCGTCACACCGGTGGCAGTAAAGCGGCACACCCAACCCTGCACGGGCGCTGTGATCACTGCTCGCCATGACGGGCTGTACAATTAATTGTACACACACCTGTGCTCCTCTCCTCCTAGCGGTACACGGTCCTGGTGTACACTCTAACACTGCAGCGCAGGTGCATCCGAGTCGGATCGCGGGCCATGTGGGAGTAAAGATGGCAACGGGCCCCCGATACCCGATACCCGACGGGTATTTGAACCATTAGGAGATGGGGATGGGATCATGGTCTCGTTCGCTGGTCTGAAACATGGCTGAAACTGGCTGAAAAACACTGTTCCGGCTGAATTATTGTGAGAGAAAAACACTGTTCTGGCTGAAAAAAGAAGCCGAACAAGCCATTTTTAAGACAAGCAAACGGGGCCCATATCTTTACCCGTGGGCATTTAAATGGGCAAGAATCCATCCCCGATAGGTACAGTGGGTACGGGAATGTTCCCTGGTTACCCGTCCCCGTTACGCGTTGGGGAACCCGACTATTTGAGCTGTCATGCGAGTATTAGGTCCAAAGAAGCTCAACATAGGTATTTTAGTCCAAATCTGAACAATAATATATATAGTTTGTGTGTTCTAGGAACCATAGTTCAATTTTTTCTCACCATCTCCGCCAGCAGCACAAGCACGTCCGCCTCACGAGCGCTCGTGCCCCTCGCTTCCTCAGTTTGGTCTCTCTGTCACCTTGGCTCGTCCTCCTCGCAACCTCGCTCCTTCTCGTCGGCATCTCCGAGACTCCGACATTTATACCCGGTGAAGAAGAAACGTCTCCGATTGCAAAGCTGTGACCCCAAGTGTCCTTGTTTATTGGGTATGCAATACCCGTCGGGTATCTGTTACCCGACCGATGTCCGACGGGTACGGGGATGAGCAAGAATCTATACCCGAGACAGTTAATGAGGACGAAGACGGAATGAATTTTTCGTAGCGGGAAAGAGAACGTTCCGGGATACCGGATACCCGACGGGTACATACCGGTTGCCATCTTCATGTGGGAGCCGCGCCGTAGCGCCCAGTCTGTCCTGGCCGGGGCGGCCTTGGAGCGCGCGCGCGCGCCGATCCCGAGATCGTTCGTTGCCATGCCATGACGATACAGTACTGCGGGTACGGGTATCGTCCTGTGCATTTTTGCTTGTAAAAGCAGCCGGGGCAGGGCGTGTTTATGTGGGGATCACGCTCGATTAGGGCTGTGATTTGGAAGCCGTGGAGACAACTGAATCACACCGAAACGTACTGTACGGTTCGAGAGGGTTAGTGTGTTTTAACTTACTATCGATGGTTTCAAGCCTCTAGGATTATCGCTAGCATTCCTGATGATAACACTCAAGTGGCAACATCATTTTTCTTTTTTTCGGTGGAACGAACCACAACATCCAAATTCAGAGAAGGGTAGATTCAAATTGTCGTCACTGAATTGCAGTAGGGAGATCCTGAATTCCTGAGGGAAATGCTCGTCTTGAGTCCACAGGTGGCTCTCTATAACTATAGTAGTAGGAGTAGGGCGCAGCAGAGCTTCGGGTTGCTTACACTGACAGAGAGTAACAGAGTATTCGAAAAAGCGAAAACAGAGCATAATTATAACCTGGCATTCACTACAGTCTACAAGGGAAGTAGGGAACCATTAAACCGAGTTCCCTGAATCCCAAATGATTGAGAACCTGTGATGTCAAGTAGTAATTCAGAGCCAGTTTAGTTCCCCAAAATTTTGTCAAATTTTTCAAGATTCTCCGTCACATCAAATCTTTGGACGCATGCATGAAGCATTAAATATAATTAAAAAATAAAACTAATTACACAGTTTAGACGAAATCCATGAGACGAATCTTTTAAGTCTAATTAGACTATAATTGGACACTAATTGCCAAATAACAACAAAACTGCTACAGTGCATTTTGCCAATTTTTTTTCATCCAAACCAGGCCTCAATTGCAGCAAGCAATTCAGTGGTCTCGTATCAGATACTTAGGTCGAGTTTAGTTCCAGAAAATTTTGCCAAATTTTTCAGATTCCCCGTCACATCGAATCTTTGGACGCATGCATGAAGCATTAAATGTAAATAAAAAATAAAACTAATTACACAGTTTAGACGAAATTCACGAGACGAATATTTTAAGCCCAATTAGACTATGATTAGACACTAATTACCAAATAACAACGAAAAGTGCTACAGTGCATTTACAGAAAATTTCGCCACTAAACAGGCCCTAAATATATATATTCAGATTGCCAAGCCAGATCTGTTAGAATGATTGACTTCATAGTCCTATCCTATCGAGATGAAGCGAGGAGCAGCGGGGGCCTTTTCGACACCACACCACGAACCATCCAATCATCTCACGGATAAAAGATTACAGCACGACACCACCAGAAACAGCATCCTTGCAGACGACGCTAACAGTCAACAAACAGGGATTCACTATAACGTGGCAAACAAAATCAAGCACAGTGCATGCTTGTTGGTTCACATTGATTTGTTCAGTGACATGATTTGATAAATAACATCACTGGCTCCTTAACACCATCCATCATCTGATCTAACAGCATCAAACACCAGTGTGTGTGATAGAAAAGAAGCTACGAAGGGAGTACTGCTCACTATACAGCAGAGAGATACATAATGGACATACACCAACTAAACAAAAAAACTTACACCTTAAATCCCGATTATTAAGGCACTTTACTTGTCTGTAACTATCCTCCTTCCCCCAAACCGAAAAAAGAATAAGAACACTAGTAACAGCTGGACAAAACAATCAAAGAATCAGAGACCACCGTTTCGCAATCTCCATCCACTGTTCTTCTTCCTCAGTTCTTCTGCCACCCCGCTATTCCAACCGGTGATCCGAGGTGATCCGGCATTGGCATTGGCAGTGGCGTTGCTGAGACACGATCAGCCAGCCTGACATCAGCTCAGCTCAGCCCCTCCACTCCGGGCACTGGTCGGCCGGCCTCGTGTTCTGCGACCCTGCCTTGATCGGGCATGGCGCGTACACCGGCGGCACCATGCAGTTGTACATCAGGCAGAGCGAGACGGTGGAGGGGAGCGACGACGACAGCGATATCTCGATTCCCGTCAGGAAGTTGTGCTGCAGGTACAGCACCTGCAGGCCGCCGGAGCCCACCAGCTCCTGCACCAGCCGCGCGGGGACCTCGCCGGTGAACCGGTTGTTGTTCAGGTACAGCTGCCCGACGCCCGCCAGCAGCGGCGAGAGCTGGCCCCAAAACCGGTTGTAGCTCAGGTCCACCATCGGGATCATCACGTCGTTGGACGGCTGCACGAGCCCCGCGAAGAAGTTGCGCTGCAGCTGCAGCACGGACAGTGGCAGCGAGAACACCGACGCCGGGATCGGGCCCTCCAGCTGGTTCATGCTGAGGTCGAGGAAGTTGAGCCGGGTCAGCCGGGGCAGCACCTGATCGACCGTGCCGGTGAGCTTGTTCGCGGACAGCGACAGGTACTGCAGCCAGGCCGGCAGGGTGGGCACGCCGCCGGAGAGTGCATTGTGCTTGAGGTCCAGCCGGAGGAGCGGGGACGAGTCCGGGAACGACGGGACGCCGCCGGTAAGCTGGTTGTGGCAGAGGATGAGGTTGGTGATCGACGGCAGCGCGGCGATGGACGGCGGGATGGTGCCGGAGATCTGATTGAAGCTGACGTCGAGCGTCCGGAGGTTGGACAGCGCGCCGAAGCCATCCGGTATCTGGCCGGAGAGGAGGTTCTTGCTCACCGCCAGGAACCGGAGATTCGAGCACGACGAGAGCGACGCCGGGAGCTCCCCCTCGACGCGCCCGGGCACCAGCGACAGCTCGGTGAGCGCAGACAGCCGGCCCAGCGCTGGGTCCAGCCTCCCCGTCAGGCCCGGAGACCCCGCCCGGGGGTCGCCGAGCGCGAGCGCCGCCACCCGGTCCCCGTCGCAGAACACGCCTGGGAACCCGCACGGATCGGCGGTGAAGTCCCACCCGTCGAAGAACTCGGAGCCGGGCATGTCGTCCAGCGACCGCCGCACCGCCTGCAGCGCCAGGAAGTCGACCGGGTCGAGGATCCCCGCCGCCGGCCGCGGCGCCACCGCCACGGCCGCCAAGACGACGCACGCCACGACGGCGCCGAGCCGCGCGGTGACCGCCATTGCCGCTCCTCCTCTGCTTTCGCGCGCGCGCGACGGCTCTGGCCTCTGTCACTCACCTCTGCAACCGCAACTGCAACAAGAAGGAACAGATCAAAAACACTGATCAACCGCGTCGGGCCGTGGCACAAAGAGCAGCGTGAGCGGCGGCGTGGGAACCTTTAAGCTTGTCGCGCGCTGTCTTTAAAGGCGCACGGCGTGGAGGTGGTGCGGCGAGAGGGTGCTGGCCTTTGTACGTGGCTGCCCCCGTGAGGGGAGGAAGTGTGGATGAGAGAGATGGCCTTGACGACGGTAGTCAGGCAGCTGAGGTCGCGTACGACGCCCTCACTCCCTCTCGCCTCGCTTTCTCGTGGAGGCGGAGGCAGCGCGTTAGCGCCTTTAATGGAGGTGGTGGTGGGTGGTGGCTTCCCCACAGCACAGCAACGCACACGTACCGCGGCGCTGCTCTCCCTCTCCGCACTCCAGTACCCGCAACCGCTACACTTCGCCGAGAAGCCAAGAGAGAATGTACAGCTGAGCTGGGCTCCCGCGGGCGGGCGGGCGGCGCGGTGGCGGCAATGATGGTGGCTTGGTGAGGACGGAGGTGGGCGCAATCAATTCCGCTTCGCCGTGAACTCTCTGGTCTCTGCTCCGCCGCGAGCTAGCCCACTACTGCACTACTACCACGCTACTCCCCTCCTCCACTCGGCCACTCCTCTGATTGGCTTCTTCTCTGCTTTTCCGATGGGCTTCCGAATTCTTTAGTGGCTCCGGGCTGCGCGGCAGACTCGGAGGCGCAAACGGCTGTCCGAGCCTGAGGCTCGGGTAGGGCCGGGGCACCCGGGCCTGACCATGACAGGTGGGGTCTCTCAGCTCACGTGGCAGTTGGCCGCCATCAATGCGACCGCCTCGGGGGAGGGGCCGGTCCGAGCCTTTCTGGCACTAGTAGAAACCGAGAAGTGGTAGGCGATATACTTTGCGAGCTGCGATCCGTGGCCGTGGTCACGCTGCGCGTGGGCCTGGACTCCGTAGGACCCACCTGGCATTGCTGGGGGCCGATGGGCTCGTGGATCTACCCCTGTGGCGGTGGGGTTTTGCGACGGGGCCGGAACCACGACGCGGGCGTATATGGAGATTTTGTCGCCTGTGATGGGAACTGATGAAGCGCCGGAATGGGAAGCTTGGATTATTATTACTGCTTCCTCATCCAAAAAGGATAAGCGTATTTTAACCAAGAAAAATCATACTCCTACAGAGCAAATTTTCACCCTTAATTTCTGTCACAATATATTCTCAAATTCATCTAAAAGATATACTTTAAATACAAATATATTGATGCAAGTTTGATTTCCTAGATTATATTTAAGTTGACTAATTACTATTAAAAAAAATTAAAGTTTATCATCCGTGGGCGAAGGGAATAATACGCCGTGCCAGAAGCAAAACGTACACGCGGTACTGGCTGGGTCTGTCTTTTGAATGTGAGGCGGAGTTTTGTCGTGTGCAATCGTGTCCAAAAGCGTCGGCATGAGCATGCCGACATCAGCGAGGCTGTGACAAAATATTTGTAAGGGAAGGACCACGTACATGGCGACTAGTGAGTGAAAATTTGGCTACTGATTATCGATCTCACCTGAATCACTGGATGCTGGAACGTGGCTATATATGATCTACGAGGCTCGGACAAGAAGGAGGTGACGAGAGGTCAAGAGCCTCAATAGTTCCCGGAATGTGCATGGTGGCTACATGCCTAGTACATACGCATTGGTTGACGGCCCCGGCCATGGATAGCTAGCTCCGCTGGGCCTCTAGCAGAACCTCGCTTCGATTACCTCTCTCCTCCGTCGACAGGGACCAGCATGTCAGAGCCCGTTTCCGGTCCCACATTCCAGCGACAAAATAAAGTGGCTCGCTGTAACAGTAAGTGAAGCTAGTTGTAGATTTGGTGGCGGTCTCTCCATTATTTTTCCAGTTTCCCCCTGTGAGGCTGTGATGGAGGCAGCAACGCGTGGGCTGATTGACCTGGCCAGAGGAGGTGTGGGAGAGGGAGTCGTGTCGTCAGGCCGTGGGGCCCGGGAAGGCAACGGTAAGATTCACAGGTGGAACGGCGGTGCCAGGGCGCATCCACACGTGTGGGCACGGTCACTGTAGACTTGGCTTGGCGTGGCTGATGGGAGTGCACTTGGGTTAAAAAACGAGCTCCAGACGTGGCGACCATTCTTACCGCACTAGGTAATAAGCTAGCACGATTTCTCCAACTCTTTGCTGCTTTTTCATAAAAAAAAACTCTTTGCTGCTTCAGGCTCTTCGGCTGATATTAAATCGGCCTTTGTCTATTTATATAGCTGGTTTGTTATGAGAGATAAACAAAGTTCCACGACTAATTTGTACAAATTAAAGACGACTGAATAGCATAAGCGAACATAGCCTCAGTTCATGCCAAGATATGGGCTATATAATTTGCTGAGACTGAGAGAAAGGGGGAGGGGGAGAAGTGGGCTCTTGGTTTGACTGACACATTAATTATTTTCCGTTTTTGCCACGACAAGGCCACTGCTCTGTCGCCTTAAAAACACGAGTAATCCAGCACAATCTCTCTAACCCGACGCGAAGAAGCAGCAGTGCTTCGGTTTCCCTTCACATGAGCAGCAGTGAATAATAAAAAAAATGCTAATCACCGCTCATTGTCCTCGGTCCTTCACGCCCGAATACACCACTCATGGTCATGGGGTGCATATCAACTGAAGCACTGGTAAGTTCCTGAAGATTTTGTGAATTGCTAGTAAACCATAGCGAGAAAGGCAGATATTTTCTTTAAAATATATAAACTATATATCCGCATTTATAGGTGAGGCAATGAACTACACGTGCACAAGAGTTCAAGTGCAAATTCGATCTCATTTGAGAGGAAACGGAAATGGCAAAAATACTTGTTATAATTTCAATTTTATCCACTATTGCAAAATGCGTCTGAAATTAGTCATTTTTGTTTAGGTCAATTAGCACTTTATTATTATTTTTTGTTTAGATGTGGATCATAGTATTACTAATAGCCGTGTGAAGTTTCAAAATTCGTTAGAACTAAATTGAAGGTGCGGTTTGAATACTTGCACAATTATCTACTAGTAGATACATGCACCCCTGCTTAGTCTATGAGAATTGCATTTACAGCCCTGCCCCTGGCCAAACAAACAACGTCTTGCAGTTGCAGGACATCATAATACGCGTGCTACCGAAATCATATCTTTGAAGGCAAGAATATCGTACTCCTGCTTAACTGGGGTGATCAGAGTTGATCATGAATGTGGAAAGGTACGGTGGGCACACAGACGGCGCCGTGCCATCATTAGTTAAAGGGGCTTGTGTATCTGAGTCCCCTTCTCGCACAATAGCTGGCAGTGTAGCACGCAGGCAGGAGCTAACACTTTTTAATTTCCATCAGAAAACTTCGGACGTACTACAGGACAAATACTGTGGGGCCGTGGTTGCCGGCTACGGCTAGCCACACCGCGCCCCGTCATTGAGGCGTTATAGCATGTTCGGTTGGCTGGATCGTTTCGTTGCTGGATTGTAAAGAAGTACTGCTGGCTGATTTGTGTGAGAAAAATACTATTCTGACTAAAAATTTATGATCGTTTACGATAAGCCCCAGCCAAACGATCAAGCTATAACGCCGCAATGGGCGCCTAAGCTGTGGTGCAAAGATGACCTGAAAATACTATGGCTGCCATATCTATGCTACAAACCAAACAACACTATTGATTAATGGATCCGTCTATTGATGACTTGAGTGATCTGTAAGCTTTGATCACTCGAGTAATTGATACGGTCAAATCACACAAATAAAGGTCTGAGAAAGCAAATCCGATTTGACTCGTCCTGTTCACTCGGATGACAGAAACTACAAAATCACACGATTTAATAATGCCAAGTATTCATGTGATAAAACCATATGTATGTATTGGTCCATACAGAAGCTGGGATATTAATATATTCCCTTTTCTAAATAAAAGATTTATACAAGACCAAATCATGACAGGAAGTACACATTTTAGCCTTCGAACGAGAAGAAAATAGGAAAAATCATCTGCTTTGTTATTTGAAAATAGGAAAAATGATAATTCTCAAAAAAGGAAAAGATTTAAAGAACAAAAAAAATTGAGAAAAAACAAATATTTTCACATAATCGTAAGCTACACTTAACCTTGCCCTGGGAATAACACCAAAATAATCACCATGACTTCTTGTGTAAATCGAATATAAATTCATAGTAACTTAAATCAGATTCTGGGAGAGAAGAACCTGAACCAAATCTTAGTTCCTTTCATGAATGCTAATAAGGAAAAATAAGAAAATTTCAAATAACAAAAAATTGTGAAAAAAACAAAGAAACACATATTATTTATGAATTGCAAATTAACAAAGATAGAGGGCCTTAAATTTTAAGTATTATACCAAAGAATATGCAAAAGAACAAATAATCAAAGTTACAAAATACAAAAAAAAAAATTATGGAGTGCAAAATAACAAAATATTTGAGCTTCAGTTAACCAGACATATCAAAATATGAAAAATTTAAATATTAAATAAAATTGAGAAAAAACAAAAAATTTCACATTAATATTAAGTTACACTAATCCTACCTAGGAATTACACCAAAATAATCACCATAACTTCTTGTGTAAATCTAGTATAAATTAGTAACTAAAATTAGATTCCAGGAGAGAAGAATTTGACCTGAACTTTAGTTCCTTTCATGAATGCTAATTAGGAAAAGTAAATGGAAAGGAGATGAAAGCAAAGATTAGGTAACAGAAACATTTCCAACCGAGCAATATAGTAAGACTAAATAATTTTCAAGTTTTGGAACTTGCATATGTAGATGAACAAATAATCAAAGTTATGGAATCCAAAATTTTATTAGGAATTGCAAAATAACAAAATATTTGAGCCTTCAATTAATCAAACATAGAAAAGTAGAAAAATTCAGATGATAAAAAATTAGAAAAAACAAAGAAACACATATTATTCTATGAATTACAAATTAACAAAGATAGAGGGACTTCAATTTTAAGTATTATACCAAAGCATATGCAAAAGAACAAATAATCAAAGTTACAAAATACAAAAGTTTATTATGGATGCAAAATAACAAAATATTTGAGCCTTCAATTAACCAAACATATCAAAATAGGAAAATTTCAAATAACAAGTACAATTGAGAAAAACACAAATCTTCACATTAATATTAAGTTACACTAATACTACCTAGGAATTATACCAAAATAATCACCATAACATGAACCCCAAGTAAAGTGTAAATCTAGTATAAATTCATAGTAACTAAAATCAGATTCTAGGAGAGACTAATTTGACTCAGATCTTAGTTCCTTTCATGAATGCTAATGAGGAAAAAGAAATGGAAAGGTGATGAAATAAAAAAAATCTAGGTAACAAAAAAAAATTTACAACCGAGCATGATATATGTAGTGAAACTAAATAAATTTTAAGAATTGGGACAATGCATATCGAGATCAACAAATAATCTAAGTTTAAAAAATTGTAAAAAATATTTGAGCCTTCAATTTCAAACATATAAAAAGTATAGGGAAATCTCAAGTTACAAAGGAAAAAAGGTGAGAAATAACAAAAAATGGTAGTATTTGATGAATGCAAATTAACAATGTTAGAAGGCCAGCCATCTAAGTAAAAAACAAGAGTTATTGTCAAAATAAACAACATTGACAAACACAAAAATATTAAAAAACATAATTAAAATCTCAACACATGAACTAAAAGCAAAAGGCAAAGTCCACGGTAACAATGAGTGAACTAGAAATAATAATCACTGTCACTTGACAAAGCAAAACTGTCCAGTACATGTCTTTTTTGTATTGGTGTACGTGTAGGCTGGAAGCATACGGCATCAGGTACAAACTACAAAATGGAATGAAGTGTCATTGTGGGATGACGTGTAAATTTGTATGTCAGAGCATAATTCAAGGTGACACTACCGTTTAAACGGTTAAAGGTAAAATAATGGCACTATGACCAGTGTGTAACACCCTAGACCTGGTACACGGCACAGGTCTATTCTACCGAGGAGTGGGCCCCACCTACGTAGCAATCCGCTTGCATTTTTGTCCTCACTTTACGTAAAATGGTTAACCAAAGGTTACTACGCATCCTTGACCTGGCTATTTAAGTCGGTCTGACCATCCTAAAATTCACAGTTTTGGACTAAAGGCTGGGCGTACAGTGTTTCGTGATGCTATAGTAACTCGCGTGAACCGTGCTGAGCGCCAGTATTCTTAAAAAAACTCATAGTATGATTAGATCCATATGATCATCTTAAATGATCTTGAACTTTCATGGTACCACGAGTTTAGGGTTTGAGATCCTAGGCCAATCCTTCCGCTGCCTCTCGCCTCGCCCCTGCGTCCCGCGTGATGCTGGTCGTCTCCAACGGCGCGCCTCCAGCACGCCCTGTCGACGACCTCCTAGCGTGCCCCTGGGGGGATCACCCATGTCGATCTCCGCCGGGGGCAGCGCGCTCGATCTCCGTGGCCGATCTCGTTAATCCATCACCCCTGGCGTCAAGCAGTAGCAGATCGAAGCGAGTACCTTGCCATCCGCCATGGAAGCCGTCGATGACAACCCCGTCCCACGCTGCCGTGGTGGCAGCCGCGGTATCCCTGCGGTGCCTGCGCTCTACCCCATGTTGCCGTGGTGGCAGCAGGGGCCTCTGCGCGGTGCGCCTACTCCGTCACTGGCGGATTGCGTGGCGGCGCCTCCCCTTCACCCTGTACCTCCCCGCCCCGAATCCCGCGTCGGGCAGGGCCCTCCACCGCCGGCCACGTCGTCCTGCTCCAACGGGTAGCGCGCCCGTCCCGCCGAGGAGCCGCCCGCCCCAGCGAGATCCACCACTGTTCCTGGCGGGAGAGCCGCCCGCCCTGGCGGAGATCCGTTCGCCCAGCACCTCCGGCGTCCCCAGCAGGATTCGCCCACCCCTCCTCATCGCCGTCGGCCGGGCTGCCTCGACCCTCTGTCTCCTCCTCTCTTGCATGGCTGTTGACCATGGTGAGAGACGGAAAGAGATAAGAGGATGAGGGGCTGTGCTACGCACACCCAGAGGTACTACACGAGATGCTGTTGTGTCTTCTTTTGCTCGATCAGAGATCGGGATTGCATCGCCCACCACCCATCGACCTCGCGCCTCTACCTCGACGTCGGCGTTGACTTCACCGGCTCCTTCTTCGTCTTCGACTATGCGGCATGGCAACATGGACGGCGCTCTAGGGGACGCCCATCTGCACCGCCCTCCTGGCCGCTTCGTCCGCACATCGTCCTTCGCCGGCTTGTTGTCGCCTCCACCGATCGGGATGCCTCCGCCGACTTCACCCACCATCGTCTCGCCTAGCGCATACCCGGTCTGATCAGCCGATGTGCATGATCCACCCGGCTCCCGTGATGTCCGTCCTCGTACTGCGTGCCTCTTCATACCATATCTGTAGGAGAGGCTCCTTGCCCTCCAAGTCATGTAGCCCTATATATTCAGCCCCAAGGCTCAGGCTAATACATCCACCAATTATACACATTCTATTCTCCTTCAATCCATCCCCTCAATGCCATTGCGTTATGACACCACTGTTAGTTTAGCTGCTGCCCAGACATAAAGGACATTTTTACGCAATCATTTCCCTAAATATGGCCCCGCTATGACATTAGAATGTTGTTTCACGCTCTGTATGATGAGGGCCAAACAATCTTTTCATGCTTTAGTTGATGACTAAATTAATAGTTATGGCACAAAGGGTACCAAATTTTGTCAAATGATGGCTCATAAGGGAGGATAAGTTATTTGGTGGCAGATTGTGTACTGAGTTAATCAATGGCACAAAAGTAACTTCTTAAATTAGCTAACATATTAAACACATCAGGTTTTTTATTCTGGAATTTCAATCACACTTGTTCCTCTTGATGCGACCAATACTATTCCAATCAACGAAGAATTCTTCTATGAATTCCAACGCCATCAGAGTACTTATGAGGCACAATACTGTTTTAAAGCTTTAAAGATGGCTCCAGACACTTGGTTCAATGATCAATTCTATACAGTAAGTTAAAGTCATTTACTCCAGTTCATTTGGCACACAGTTTTTCCCCCCACTGTTCCTTTTTTTTTTCTTGTCCAGAGCTATTTTATGTGGGACTCCTTTACTTCTGGTGTTGCCATCTCCAGCATGCGCAATGATAAGAATGGCAAATTTGGAAATGATTTTGCTCAGCTTGAATATATGAACGTTACAGTTGTAACTTCTAATAAACCATATGGTGTGCATGATGGCTCAAATCCATTATTCAAAGTTCGTGGAACCCCCAAGTTTGGTCTTAAAAGAGATGGAGTTCATAGCGGTCATGTTCAAACTGGAATTACCGATAGCTTTTGCAGCGTCAAGGGAAGTAATAAAGGAAGATGTGAGGTATAGTACAGTATGACCAAATTTCTTTAGGGAACAGTTGCATATCTTATTTTTATGAAGCAAAAGTTGTTGCTAATATGGAGAAATCTAAAAAATTTCATTGACTTGCCTCTATGCATGCCTTCACTATCATGTTATGATGTCTCTGGACAGCCAATGACAACTTGTAATGCGCAATATTCTATGAAAACTCAATTTTTGTTTGAATAAACATATAAACCTAATGAAGAAAACACTATGCATATGTTATTTGTTACTGGCAAGTCCATTATCCACTAGGTTGTTATTTTTTCTTAATATAATGCTACACAACTCTATGCGTGTTCGACAACTCTTCCAATTTTCAAATGAATAAGAAAAATGAAAAAAATTACTATTTAGGGAACTCAACCTTTTTACTAATTATTTTTCTTAGGATGGATACACTAAGGAAGTCTCCGGTCCAGAAGCAGTCCACATTCGTGTTGCTACGGGGGCTAAACCAAATGTAGATAAGTATAGCCCTCTTGACAGGGAGTTTTTCAAAAGCTTCCTAGACTTGTCAGAAGACTCGCAACCCAAGTTTTTTGCATTATTCCTATTCTATCTGATCAAACTCAGTCTCTAGTACGTCAAGCTGTAATGATCTAATAAGCCTTTTTATGTATGCATTAAGCTTGTTTATGTATGCATTAAAACATGCTAGTATTTTGACTTCTAGTGGCAAAAAACGGTGCAAACCGAATTTCAAAAACAGGATATTCCGAATAAAAAATGGAAACGTAGAAAACGGTCGGCGTCTAAACCGTTTCCGTTCTGTTTTAGAATTTGGTATTCTGTATTTCATACCGAATTCTAATTTGTCTGAAAATACGAATTCGAGCATGTTAAATGTAGAAAACGATGCGGGACGGTACGGAATATATTCCGACCATTTTCATCCCTAATCGTCAGCTCTAAATCTCTAACAAAATTTATTTTGGAGTTACTTTTTCCTATGTTACTTTAATTAGCACTCGGCTCTATATCATCTTTTACCCTAAGCCTGTATCTTTACAACATAGAGCTGAACTTTCTTTCCATTGGCTAAAAAAAACTCGGCCCTAGGGAAAGAATTCCTCCGATATATTAGCACACAAGGGTCATCAGGGATGGCAATCCTGTGCACGGTGTAGGTACCCGCGGGTATTGCACACCGACAACTATGGGTGTTAGGTAATAGGTAATTCATTGCGAAGGGGTGTTTACACTATGAGCAACTTAGGTGTTAGGCAATTCATTGTGAAGGGGTGTTTACTCTACGGGCAAGTTGGCTGCTAGACAATTCATTGTGAATGGGTGTTTACTCTACGGGCAACTTGGCTGCTAGACAATTCATTGTGAATGGGTGTTTACTCTATGCACAACTTACTCGACCCACTCCCATCTCTACCTGAAAGCCACATATATCTTTGAAGCAGGGGTGAATGGACTTTTTCTGGTATAGGAGCAACTGTTTGAATAGATAACCAACAAAACATCACTCCCAACAAACTTATTGCCCATAGTTGTGCTAAGTAACTAACTTAAGAACTACAAACTGTTAGCTGTATAAAGAGAAACTGATGGCAAAGTTTGTGAGTTTTGTAGTGCAAAGGTTCAACAACAATGAGTTTGGAGATAGAGTAAATAGCTGTGGTGTGCCATCTATGCCTTCATGAAGTGAAGGACCGAGCAGGTGACCAAGGGGAGGGGGTGTGAATGGGAGCCATTTAATTCTTTTTTGCAAGAACTTGGCCTATGTTCTGAATTACAACCCAACACACCTCTCAAAATGCAAAATCAAGTACCCAAAGCAATAGATAGACAAATGGACTAAGAAACAACGATATTGGAGCCTGATCAAGCGGAAGCAAGAACAAGTCAGGGAAACACTTAGAACCCCCCCCCCAAGACATATTCAGCCCAAAAAGTTTAGAACTTCTGTGTTTTGCAAAAGTTCTGCGTTTTTTCGCGGAAGTTCCGCGTAGACAGATTTCAGCAGGCTGAAGCAAAAGAGAAAAAAAAGTCGAAACTCGATCAAACGAAGTTCAAATGACCTGAAATTTTGCACACACGTTCCTTAGGATGTTTTGAAGGTGTCCACAAAATTTGACCTCCAAAAGATCAAATCTTGGATGGAAAATTGAAAAAAAGCTCTCAAGTTGGTTTTTTTTTGCGATTTTCTTGAAACGGAGGAGACGGGGGTGCTTGTGGGAAATCTGGTTAAGGCAAAGTCTAGACATGTTTCCAAGACCTCATAGAACCTAGTAATCACAAGAAATCAACCCAAAAACCTCAGCTCAAAGATCCTCATGAATTTCACTCAAAGAGGCAAAAAGAGGGATTTTGGGGCTTGGAACAAGGTAGGTAGGTGCTGGGCTTCAAGCCATGGTTTAGATATGTTGCAGCTCAAAAAAACGTGCCAAACAATCAGCCGAAGTTGCAGCTCAAAAAATTGATGACAAAAATCACCGAAAGAGGAAAAACCGGAGAGGGAAAGGATGAACTCGAGATTTCAGTCAACACTTCGATTACCAACTTATGAATTCATTATTACAAATCAGGTAAAGCCTCCTCCCTTCATCCTCCCACTAAAGATGGAAAATTAGAGCAATAGGATCTCACTCTATCTACTTCTAATCTCCCTAAACAAGATGCACTTGGCTAGCCTAAGGAAACAAGCATCAGGGTGGAAGAGATGGATGTCTTGGGCAACCACTATCTTTATTTATAGGGCTACTACAATTCCAAGAGTGCTCCTAGGTTTAGGCTTGAACCACTTAGCAACAGGGGTGAAAATGGTCTAAATTGGTTTCCATACATCGGATGGCCATGTGCCCTTCATGAAGTCATTTCGCCTCGACGCAAGCTCTTTGATGATGCCACGTGCCGCCCTGAGATCCTCCCCGGGATTTTGAGGCCCAAACCCGGCAAACCTGTCGCACTGGTTTTGAGGCCCAAACCGCCAAACCCACTTGGAGTAGCGTAGAAGCTACATCTTCTCCACGAAGTCGATGTGTGTCCCACTTGCCCTCGAACGGCGGATCACCAAGTGCTCACGTGCCCGCCTTGACTTGGTCTAATCGTCGTCTTGACTTTGGTCAACACTGTCTCCATCACCATCCTTGTGTGTACACTTGGTTGTCGATGTGTCTAAATGCTAGCCATCCACGGTCCATCCTTTAGCCCTCGATCCCTCGGTCCAAGCCTCCGTGTCCGCCCTTCACCGCTCCCAGTCCATCACGCACGGACTCCTCGCTTGACCTCCATTGCCATTGACCGTCTCACGCTCAACACCTGCACATCACAAAGCTAAGAGACATGTTGCACACATAACTCATGCCATGGTTAGTCTCAAGCACACTTAACAAAAGCTTTGATCACCTGGACAATCACTCATCACTCACAGATGGACACATATCCACCATGTGTTCGCATGAAGAAATATGCTAACTATACCTCTGAAGACACATGATGAGAACTCACAACCTGATCATGCACCTACTATCTCATGTAGAAAGAATCAACTCCAATGTGCTTCGTGGTGTACTCGGATACCGACTAGGCTGGCTGTCTCGAGACATGGAAGTTCACCTCGAGCTATGCGGTGTTCTTTGGGGACAATTTTGTTTTGGTCATCTAAGTGCTAGTCTCGCGACCTAGTGCAAAGGCTGAGTTTTGCACCTTGGCTAATGTTGTCGCCTATCTAGCTGTGCCAACTTCTCGAGCTTCGTGCTCCTCTTCATCGTGCCACATTGGTCCACTGTGACAACATGAGCACCGTCTACTTATCGACCAATCATGTTTAGCATCAGCGTTCGTAGCATATTGAGATCAATCTTCACTTCATTCGAGAGTGTGTTGCTCTTGGTGACATCTGCATGTTCCTACTACATCACAATGTGCCATATTTTCACTAGAGGGCTATTGTCTTCAGCCTTCACGGAGTTTCGATCTAGCCTAAACGTTCATGGTGGCGATGCTTCTAACTGTGGGAGTGTGTTAGGTGGATGATTAGGCCAGCCCTCCTTGGGCCTTCAGGTTTTGCCTTGTGGCCTAGAGCCTGTGTAGTCTTTGTAGATTGGTTATATCTATTTATAGGCAAATATTCTACGGTGGTCATACTTCTATTAACCAATCTAGGATTACTCTTGCACATATATGTGCCTGTACTCTGCAGTTATTAATCGATCTACTATTTTCCCAATCCATATTCGCTTTCAGTATACACCACTAATAATGGAATCTTAATTGACATGCCCTGATGCTCCCAAATCCTGCCACACTAATATTTGGTCATCATCTTCTCTTTGGGTCATTGATATCCTGTCACAAAGTTTTACATGAAGGAGCAGATTGCACTCACATGAAGTGTTAATATATGAAAATAGAAAAGGTTCTCTCAGAAATCATGTATGTGAATTGGCCTGCTCTTATGACTAAACTATGATCTGCAGGCACTAAATCTTCGTGAGAACTCTGGTAGTTTGAACCTTATGGCACAGTTTCCATTTTACAGAGAGATTCTTTACAAGCCAGACTTCAAAAACAAAAAAAATTGGGCCACCTGTTATTTTTGACATGGACATGAGTCCTGGAGATTTTATCTCACTTATATATCTCTTGAAGGCACCTATTGAAGTAATAGATTTAAAGGTATGATTAATGGAAGAGTGTTCTGCTCCACTGCAATAAAGATTTCATTCCTTTTTTATGAATGCAATTTTATTATAATGTTATAGGGGATTTTGGTCAGTGGCAATGGTTGGGCCCACATTGCAAGCATTGATATCATTTATGATATTTTACATATGATTGGCCGCGATGACATTCCTGTCGGTCGTGGTAATACCAATGCATTAGGAACTACCAATTCTTGGTTGCAACTATGCCAATATTATTCCCCAGGGTAGTGGGGGACTTATTGACTCGGACACTCTATGGGTTAGCTCGGTCATTGCCAAGAAGTCCTAGAAGGTATCTTTTTATAGCTACCTGACGACATGCATATAGATAGTACAAATGACCTAGATACTTACAATTCTACGCTTTCCTTTGTCAGGTATACTGCTGAAAATTCAGTAAAATATGGTGCTCCTAGAAACACTGACCATCCAGAACTTCGGCAGCCATTGGCTTTTGAAGTTTGGCAGTCTATCAAAGAGAAGCTTCCTCCAAGTGAGAAGATCACTATTCTTACCAGTGGACCTCTTACAAATTTGGCCAATATAATGCTCTCTGACAGGAACACAAGTTCTGTAATAGAGGTCAGCTCTTTGAAACCTTTTGGTTCAGGGCAGTTCCAACTGTATTTTGATCTCTGATAATTTCAGTATTTTCACTGTCAGTATTGATATGTAAATGTTCCTTATATGCAGAAGGTTTATGTTGTTGGAGGTCATATCAGAGGTGAAAATGATTCCAAGGGAAATGTGTTTACTGTTCCATCAAATAGATATGCAGAGTTTAATATGTTTCTTGATCCACTAGCTGCGAAAACAGTCCTGGAGTCCTCTCTGGATATCACACTATTTCATTCCTTTTTTATGAATGCAATTTTATTATAATGTTATAGGGGATTTTGGTCAGTGGCAATGGTTGGGCCCACATTGCAAGCATTGATATCATTTATGATATTTTACATATGATTGGCTGCGATGACATTCCTGTCGGTCGTGGTAATACCAATGCATTAGGAACTACCAATTCTTGGTTGCAACTATGCCAATATTATTCCCCAGGGTAGTGGGGGACTTATTGACTCGGACACTCTATGGGCTAGCTCGGTCATTGCCAAGAAGTCCTAGAAGGTATCTTTTTATAGCTACCTGACGACATGCATATAGATAGTGCAAATGACCTAGATACTTACAATTCTACGCTTTCCTTTGTCAGGTATACTGCTGAAAATTCAGTAAAATATGGTGCTCCTAGAAACACTGACCATCCAGAACTTCGGCAGCCATTGGCTTTTGAAGTTTGGCAGTCTATCAAAGAGAAGCTTCCTCCAAGTGAGAAGATCACTATTCTTACCAGTGGACCTCTTACAAATTTGGCCAATATAATGCTCTCTGACAGGAACACAAGTTCTGTAATAGAGGTCAGCTCTTTGAAACCTTTTGGTTCAGGGCAGTTCCAACTGTATTTTGATCTCTGCTAATTTCAGTATTTTCACTGTCAGTATTGATATGTAAATGTTCCTTATATGCAGAAGGTTTATGTTGTTTGAGGTCATATCAGAGGTGAAAATGATTCCAAGGGAAATGTGTTTACTGTTCCATCAAATAGATATGCAGAGTTTAATACGTTTCTTGATCCAGTAGCTGCGAAAACAGTCCTGGAGTCCTCTCTGGATATCACACTGATTCCTCTGAGGTCTCAAAGAAAAGCTGCTTCCTTTAAGTCTATACTTCACGCTTTGAAGCATACTGATCACACTCCAGAATCAAGTTTTGTCCACCGCTTGCTGTTTTTGCTACATGAACTTCAGCAGAAGCATCGGCTGTATCACCATATGGTAAATGCCTACAGTTCATTCTACTTGTCTGCTATAACGGCATGTTGTCAAGAAAAAAAAAAATACCTGCAACACCTCTGATTTTGTGATCACATTACGGTAGATTTAACTTCACAAGATTTTGAAGCAGTGGAACTTTATCATTTCTCCAGAGGAAATAGCATAGCTTACGATTGCTTAGATTTATTCTAACTCTTCCAGTTTCCAATTGAATGGTCAAGTAGACCTAAGAGTCATGTTATGCATTCAAACCAATGATAAGGATATGGAACCTAAAATTACTACAGGCCAAAATATACACAAATATTTATACTTGACGCAGTACTTATTGTTTTTTTTGGTGGGCGGTGATCCTCTTAATCACAGGATATATTTCTGGGAGAAGTTCATGGTGCTGTCTACTTGGTGGAAGGATTTAGTATGAGACCGTTCATACAATCAATTCCAATAAGCGTCGTTGCCAACAGCTCAAGAAGCACGAATGGGCAGATTGTGGTCAACAAGCAGAGTGCAAATTCTGTAAACGTTTTGGTTGATTTCAGTAGTGGAAAATACTACAGACGAGTTGGCAAATCTTTAGGCAACAAGGAGCAATCTGCTGCTGTTGGTAGTTTTGCAGAACAGAATACCATCTGGAGCAGGCCACCTGAGATTCTCAGAAATTGAAGGCATAAACACAAAGGATTAGATAAAGCAGCCTGATAAATTGATGGCATAAACCCAAATGATAATTTTTATGTACCATGGAGACCCATCGGTACGTATACATGGGTTTGCTGGTTGTTACTCCACTCTTTCATTTCCATGTCAACTGAGATCCAAAAATCCATTGATTTTTATGCAGTGCCTAATCGGAGGTTGCTCCAAGTGGATGCTGCTTTTTTAAAACGTAAACGGCAGGAGCTCCAATTAAGATAAATATATGTACAAGAAGGGGCAAGAGGCCCTAAAAGACACTAGGCTGATAAACTGGGAATCCAGCCTGCGACAATGGCAGCCGATGGAAGCATCTTCAACTTCAACGTTCCCTGCCCAAACCACTTCCCTAATAATCACTACACCACCTTCCTAGCTCTATGCTAATGGCATCTTTGGAAAAGGAGGATGGGGTAATATTCAGAGGGGAATCACACTCCCATGGACAGGTATTCATACTAATGCACGATGATGCAACGTTATGGAAGATCAGGCTGCCAAAGAAGGATAGATCAGTAGCCGAGGTTTGGCGCCAAATGTTTGCTTCCCCTATGTAATCAATAATATTTATCAACAAACGATGATGTAACACTGGTGATGAAATCCTTGTAAACAGATGGGTCCATCGGACCTAGATCAATGAAATAAAATTCAGGTGGGGAGCTACCCCCACCCCCCGTGGTTGACAGTAAAAAAAAGACACTAGGCTACACATTTTTCCAAAGGATTTTTGCTAGGAGGGACTCCAAAACTAATAACCCGAAACGGCCTGGGGGGGGGGGTTTGCAGACACTGCTGTGGCGAGACTAGGTGGTATTTGGTTGCCCCTTCTAAATTTTAGTCGTTGTCCCATCGAATGTTTGGACATATGCATGAAGTGTTAAATATAGATTAATTACGAAACTAATTGTATAGTTTGCGACTAATTTGCGAGATGAATCTTTTAAGCCTAATTAGTCCATGATTTGACAATGTGGTGCTACAATAAACATGCTAATGACGGGTTAATTAGGCTTAAAAAATTCGTCTCGTGGAGTACTGACGGATTATGTAATTTATTTTTTTATTAGTATCGGAACACCCCATGCAACATCCTCCCGACACACCTCCTAAATTTTAGTCTCTGTATCCAAACACCACCTAACGTTTCATATGGAGCAGCGAAACAGAAACTAGACTAATAGAGACGAGACAGAGGAATGGGTGACTTCCCCTACTCTCGGCACTGTGTGCATGCCTAGAGGAGCATGGCAGCAGCTTGCTTCGCAGTGGGTTAGCAGACATGCCTGGGTGGGCTCCTTTGCAGTGTTTGAGTGTGTTGCTTTATTTTTTAATAACCGAACAAAAGTTCGGCCTCTACCATTTGAGGACGGTACATAGCTAAGAGTTCAAACAATTCAGCATTGGGCTCTTTCATCAACTGATATGAAGATCAGTTAGTTTGCCATATTTTTTCTTTTGGGGAAGATAATAAGATGGCTCCCTGTGATTATTTGTCTTATGATCTATCTAGGAACAATACCGAAGTGTTTCAAAGGAGGATTACTTGACTTAGGTCTGCCTCCGGTCTAAATTAAATCAAAATCTAAGTGAAATGGAGTCTCTATTGTTCAGATGCAAGAGTTTACTACGAGACTTCATACACCTTAAAGTTCACCAAGGGGTCTACAATCTAATTATATGAATACTAATTAATCTAATGTGAATTAGGATCACTGATCATAATTCTTGCAAAAAAAGGATCAGTGATCATAACTTGAAGGTAGGTAATCTGTCATCGGTGAAGTAGATCAGCGATGAACTGAGTGCACACCCAGTGCACCGATACCGCTTGCTGTTGTTGATGGGGGAAGAAGAGGTGGTGGTCTTCAGGTTGATCCAACACTTCTCGGGATTAGTGTCTTAAGATTTAGGTGATCAGTGGACTTAGAGTCATGCTTGCGTTAGCATGCATGACTTAACGACGTCCATCTCCTTATATCATAGTGTCGTTCACCCTGGTTTGCAACCATCGTTTGTTAGACGCGCTTCCGATCGTGACGCAAGGTGGGAACGTAGCGCTCCCCTTGACTTGGCATGCAATGGGTCTGGGCATTAGCCCATTAAAAGTCTCATATTTGGTTTTGGTAATTGAGACAACTAGTGTACTAACTTTTTTCTAAGTGTTGATCAGGCTAGGTGAAGTTCACACCAAGACGGTGAGCAAGGCTAGGAGTTGGATGAAGCGCGATGAATTCAGATGGAGCAAGCTCATACTTGGAGAAGATGAGAGGAGCAAACCTGAAGGCAAAGGTATATGCTAGAGGCTTCGCTTTTGCTGGCTGAGATGCAATGGAGTGTATGGTTGGGTTTAGAATAGATAGTCGTACTATTAAGAGGGGAACTCTAAAGCAAACACGGTTATCTAATGCCATTATGTATTGATTTATATGTATATGCATTAGACCTAGTGACATGGTGAGTTGTAAGTGAAAGTGTTTTTGAAAATATTTTGAAAAATGCTAACTCAGTGCTTAGATGTTTAGCAAAACTTTTTAGAGTTGGCACACTTGCGAAAAGGGGGATGAAAGGGACTCGGTGGTGCTGTTTAGCACTCACCAAAGTGTTGAACCTGTGCGTTGACTCGAGTGAAGTTTCAGTCTAGTACCTTGCCTTTCGGTGTATCACCGGAGCAATACATTGGTAGGTTTTGGTGTTGGCTCTGTGCGTGTGTGGGAGATTCAAAGGCTCCATCTGAGTCATCCAGTGTATGCGGATGGTTCTACCAGAGAGGGTGTAAATGGGACTCGTTGGGCGTTGTACGCACCGGTGTTGTCTGATGCTTACCGAAGAAGCCACCAGAGCTCTAACATAGGGCAACAACTAGTTTGAGAGCTGTTGGAAAGCTCTGGTGATCACCGAAGCTCTCTGGTGAGCTCGCAGTAGCTATTTGAAGAGGGTAACGGTTGGCCCTTGGTGTGGGGCTATAAATAGGACTTAAGGCCAGGCTTTGCCACTCTCTTGTAGACCCTAGCTAATGCCACACCCTTGAGAGCTTGAGAAACATAATCTAGTCATTTTGATTGCATTGGATTGGGTGAGATTAGTGATGCTCTAGTGCATTTGCATCGTTGATTTGCATCTTGTCGCACTAGTTGAGCATGGCGGCATTGGCTGTTCTTGTTACTCTTGGTCATTATAGTCACCTAGCTGGCTTGGAGATTGTTAGATCGTTGAGGGGCTTGTGTTGATTGTTTGCCGCCTCCGATCAAGTTGTTGTAAGGGGCTCTTGTTCTCGTACCTGCGAGAGATAACTAAGAGAAATTCTAGTGTATGCTCATGGCTAGTTGGAGTGCTTATTGTGTTTGATTCCTGTGGCACCCAAGTTGTGGGTCTAGCTTGAGCGGCTAGTCAGCGTGTGAATCGTCACATTAAGACTTGCCACAACGAGGACACAAGTTGCCGGCAAGCAACCGAAGCTCGAGGACAAATCTTGTGTCTCCACACTTGTTTTACATTCATATCTTTTGCTTGTGTGTTTGCTTGTAGTATAGCTCACTAGTCACTAGAGTAGTTGTAGTTGTAGTTGCTCTCTTGTTTAGCTCTTGTGTGCTGAAGTGAATTAGTTTAGAATTTAATTGCTACTAGAATTGTATAGGGGCTTGCTTGGGTGAAATAAATCTAGTGCAAGTAGTGGCAATTAGGAGTTGTTATTTCTCTAACCACCTTGCTCTAGTGTTTGTGTTATTTGTAGAGAATTTTTTATAGGTTATTCATCCACCCTCCCCTCTAGCCATTTAGGTCCTTTCACCCATCCCCTTCAGAGATCATTATTCCAACATTCTCCTGATCAAAAGGCTAGAGATCTCTCGTGGTCCCAAATCACTGATGATTAGGGTTTTGATTTTAGAATTTGGGTAAAATTTTATTTCTCAAACTAGGGTTTCGGGATTCTAGGGAAAGTTTGAGTTTGATCGTGATTTGCAAATTCCTGTCCTCTGATCTGAAACCCTAGCTCCTTAGTGTGCATAAAATTGGTCATGATTAACATTAATAGCGGTCTAGTTGGGCTTAGGAGTGGCAAAGATGACTGAACACTAATTAGACTGAATTTGAGCATGATTAGCACTAATATGTGATTAAGCATGATCAAGGTCTAACCCTAACCCTAACCCTATACATGCACATTCCACACATGACACATTAGTGGTTCGTGAACTAAATTAGCAGCTTCATGATGCCACAATATTAGAAAAGTGAGGTGCTTAACCATAGGATCTCTAATCTAATTATATGAACACTAATTAATCTAATGTGGATTAGGATCACTAAACATAACTTGAAGTCATGTAATCTGCCATAGGTGAAGTAGATCGGTGATGAACTGAGTTGACACTGATAGTGCACCTGTTCAATGCATGGGCACTCTGCCTACTATTCGCGATGAGGAAGAAGAGGCAATGGCCTTCGGGTTGATCCAACACTTCTTCAATGTCTTAGGATTTAAGTGATGAGTGACCTTAGAGTTACACTTACAATGGTCCGCATAACTTAACGCGGTCCATCTTCCTATATCACAGTATCGTTCACCCCTAGAGCCGCAACCGCTGATTGTTAGTCTTAGACTTAGACACACTTCCAGTCGTGGCATGAGGTGAGAATGTAGCACTTCCTTGACTCGACATGCAACGGGTCTGGGCATTAGCATATCCCCTCTTAAGCCTGGGATCATTTTTCCAACAGTGGCATCCACCCTGCTATCCTATAGGTAATGATGGTGGTGGTAGCTAGATTGCTCTAAAAGTGACAGAGGTGACAACCGAAGTTTTGAGTCCATCAATTGTACATGGACTATGTGATCGTGGGGCTAATGGGGTGTTTGGTTCCACGGCCTAAACTTTAGTCCCTGTCACATCGGATGTTTGACACTAATTTAGAGTAGAGTTGGGACTTGGGCCATGCCATTTGAGGGTGGGTCATGACACGGTCTT